ATCACACAGAAAATAATACAATCTGCAAATTAACTTAAAACATGAAATATAGCCTGACATTTATATATTGAAAGAGTAATTGTAAAAGATAGGCCATTCTCATTTCCCACAAACTTTACTTAATCGTAGGTCTGTAGATACAGTTTGATTGAGGCATTAGTAAATGCCTACTTTACTAGAGTTCATTTCTTTGATTTAAGATGTAATGAAAATAGAATTTTCCAGTTTTCTTCCATATTTTCTGTATTCATCTTAAAATGTATAATGAGAAGGCAGCTGGCACTCTTCTAGTCATGTGCAAATTCAATTAAAATCAAGCATTTCCAAAGAGTTTTTCTCAATATAGATTTCTCATACATATAACAAAATAATTCTATGATGAAATAATCAAAAAGGTAGAGCTAACTTAATGAGTTCATCATGTTAGATACTTTAGATTTACAATCATTCTCAAACAGATTCGAGTCTCAAATTTTAGTGTAGTATTTGCATAATATTTGTGTCCTGGACATGTACCTGAACTGGATTAATATGTTAGCTCACTCAAATCTGAATGCAGACTTCTCAACACAATAAATGTGTATCCCAGAAAGCAGATAGCACTTCTTAAAGTATTTTAACTCATTTAGACTTAACATATATACCTAGTATACTTAAATTATCCTCATCTTAGCAGAGTCAACCTCCTCTAAAATAAATCCCTGTAAAAATCAAAACTTCAGATTATCAAATATTAGAATGATGTACAGTAAAATTTTTCTTGTTTTACAGAAGTATAATCCCATTAATTCCAGTAAAGATTATGAAATAACTAGGAAGATTTTTTTGTTTGTTTAAAATACAACTAATGCTCCTCAGCTAGGAGGAAAAAAAAAAATTCCTTAAATACTGGTAGTCAATCCTTTCTGTGCTTCAAAAGCTCAAATGATAAAATCTCATTCATGAAACCTCTGCTATTTTTCTCTTTTCCAGTGACCTTTGCAGAGACACGTGTAACTGCTAAAGGAGGTAGTATGCAAAGTTACCATTGCCGGAGCTGTACAGCTCTGACATAGCAATAAGAATTTATAAAATCTCCAAAATCACTACTGCCTTGATAACCTCTTTCAAGAGTTAGCAACTTTAAAAGACATAAGCAAGGGCATCACTGCCTGTAAGTGCTCCCATTAATGGTAAGTTGATAAGATGCATAAAAATATATCTGAGCACCTCACAATCCGTAATTAGCGTTATTTTTGCAACATACCAGAAAAGTAAAATAGTAGTGTCTGTCTTTTTATAGATGGGAACTGAGGAACCTGGTATAATTGAGACATATGCTTTAATTAGTGGCACAGGCACTGTGTGATAGTAGGGCTATTACAGCTTGCCTGCTCCAGAAATAAAAACACATGTTTTTGAAGAAATGGGCACAAAACTTATGATTGCCTAACTCAAGAAGAGCGTATTTTCTTCTAAACCAGAGGCAAAAGCAGAAGTTGTAACCTATAATTTGTCTTGTTTCCTTCCATCCCTTGCTGCCTGTTTTGCATTATTTTACACAGCCATTCTCTGCACCCAGATGCATTTATGAGAAGGGATAGCCCATCCATCAGAGAAATCTGGTCCCAAATGTTGTCCCCATTTGTCAGAAACTCCTCAACTACCAGGTAACTTCCAGGTTTCACTGAGAAAGTTTAATCCATCCTGAGCTTCTTAATGTGGTCTCCAAGGAATCAAAAGTTAAGCCATTTAAGGGCCCATTGTCACAGTCCTCTTTAAGATGACATGTCTCTCTGTTTAATATGCTGAGTTATACTCACCTAAGCACCAGCATGGAGCTGTTGACACAGTACTAGGGAATGATTTATCCTGCAGGCTAACCTCTAACAAAATTAGTAATTTTAAAATCTATAAATACTATGTGACTACAGACTAACAAGATATTAACAGTACCTTTGGAATTCGGCATTTTAAAAGATATATTATCACCTTGTTAGTTTTACAGAGGGAAACCAGAAATATTTTCTGGGAAAAGCAGGAACAATAATCATCTGAAGATGAGGAAAAATTTCTTTACTTTGAGGGTGACAGGGCACTGGAACAGGCTGCCCAGAGAGGTTGAGGAGTCTCCTTCTCTGGAGATATTCAAAACTTGCCTGGATGCAGTGCAACAAGGACGAAGCATAATGTGAGGGAAGTTGCATCTCCATGCTCCTAACAGCAATGAAAGGGTCTTATTTATCTTGAAGTTCCAGTAAGGAATTCATTGCCTTTGTGAAGATACAGTTTTCAGGCAAATCTTGTGATCTGGTTTGAAGTCTCCAGCTGACTGCTTACCCCATACTGAATACACCTAACTCTCCCAGGTAACACTGGACATTTTTTTAAGGAAGAAACTTCATGCTCTTTTCCTGTTAAATAAAGGACTACATTAACAGAACATGGGCTCAGAGAGAAAGCTAGGCAGGATTATCAGAAACAGACATCAGACAGGCTGTGCGGCTCACTGTAAGGCACTGCTAGCATCAAGGCACTCAGCCATCACCCCAAGCCTGAAGCTGAAGCCTGGGGCACTGGGAAAGCAAAGCAGACACCAATCTTGTTCTACCTTTTTTTAGAATACAGGAATGAGCAGGTTATAGATTAAAAATGGAGGCAGTGCTTTCTTCCTCTGATCATGAACAGTTTTTGATGACAATGGCAGAGGAGCTTGGATCTTAGGTAGGTTTATCACAGCATATTTATTAATTTCTTACAGTATCCTTCCTGATGAACAGGATCAAAAGAAATATAATGTAGGGCACACTCTTATAAATAAATTATTATTGTAATTTAATTATCTTTTGAATATTTTCTTTTAAGTTATTAATACTATTAACCAGCCTTTTGGTCTGGTTATACGAGGGCTGTCCTGCTTGCACTGTAACTTGCACAGTATGGTATTATGACCACTCTAAATAAAGTTAAACACAAATCTGGAATGTACAAAATGCATGACTTGATAACCTACAATATGAAATCTCTTCCTAAGCAGGAATTAAAAAATGTCTCTGGCAGTGTAATATTTATATTGCCACATTTTGTCAAGTGTACATAGTAGCACGTAAGTACTCAATTCAGAGAGAAGTGTAATCCTTGCAAGAAGATCCTACCCTCTATGCTTGTTAATTCTGTTCCTTAAAGCTATTTCTTGATAATACAGTACATCTTTAGTGACAATCTATGGCTTAAGCCATGTGGCTCAGTGATTTTCAACTAGTGAAGATGTGCAATAATCCTCTCTGTGCTCTGCTACATAGACCTTGGTTCTGTTAAGAAAGTGAATTTATAGTAAGGACCTGTGTTTGCTGGATGTAATGGTCATGCCTGTGACATCACTGAGCTCCAGTCAGAGCATGTTACCAGTTACCCAGATGGATGAACACACACGTGCAGATTCTGTGGTGCAGTCATGGTTTGTGGCACTCTTTGAAGAACATTTCCTCATTAAGTTGAACCTTGAAGCCCCAACAGCAAAATTTCAAATGTCTGGAACAGTTGAAATGTTAAAATGTTGCTCTTCAATTACAGAAAATAGGGGTAAGCAGGGTGGAATAGCCAGGGCACTTGGAAAGGCTCACACTGTTATGAAATCTATCTTTCCAAAATTAAGAAAACATTTACAAGTAACCAGTATTATGGAGTAGTAAATTCCTTACAAATCAAAGTGAAAGTGTGAGAACAGAGGGCTTCCTTTTGAGACTCAGAGAAGGATTTGCATGCCAAAAAGTATGCCTCTCTTGCTTCTGCCTGCAAGCTTTCCTTCAATTATGTTCTCAGACTGCCAGGATTAGATTACTACTAGCATTGGTTTACGAGCAGACTGAATCTCACAATCATCTGTGACCTATTGCTACAACCGACAACTTACAGAACTAGAAAAGACTGAAGAAATTGCAGGCTCTGTTTCCAGTTTAACAATGGTTTTGTGTATAATACCCAGCGCAATTTTTAGAAAAGCATTAACGAAGTTTTTCTGTCATTGTAGCATTTGATAAAAAATACATCACAATGTAGGTGAAGATTATTCTTCAGATGTAGGGCAAAGTTTGTGGATAAGTATTATGGCACAATTCCCAATACTTCATTCAATGCATGTGATCTCTTCTTTCCTAATGAGTTCATTTATGCAGAGGGCTACCATATTTCTTGGAATTTGTATCTAAAACAATTGTATAGTAATTCATTTACCTATTAACTTATTGATAAGAACTGATATTTTTTTTTAAAATGTTCATTCAAGATGATCAAGTCTAGAATGGAAACTCCAGTATTTGGTAGTAACAGTAAAGCATTTCCGGTACTCATATAGTGAATTCCCTAGTCACCAAGTGGAGCACTGAACTTGAATACAGAATGACTGTGACATGGTGACAATATCTAAGAATACCAAGATACACAGTTAAAACAACAGATGCCTGAAAGGCTTCTTTATGGTCAGGGCAAAAAAGAGTGATTCAATGATGCTATCTTCTCATAAAAGTTTGTGACCAATTAATGAAAGAAAGCCTCTCAAAGTTTCGTAGTCACAAATTCCCCAAATTGCCAAAACCTGGCTTCACTCAATAATTTCTTTAAAAGGCTCATGAAATTCTGCTCCCCTCAGAGTTGTATGGTTAGCAAAATGAGAGAGAATTCCACAGCTACAAATCTCACTGCCTCAGAGTTGGGGAATTTGAACACTTAAATTCTGGAAGTTTTTCTTCCTCACAATGGGAAGGATGAGTGAAATCTTTGCTTCCTGTTCCCCAGGTTATAGGTATCAAGCTCCAGCTGACCACTGGGAAAATTTCAGAGATCAATTATTCCTCCTGTAATGTTAAGTGCAGGTGTTAGCCAAGAGAAATTTCTCCTGGATGGGCTGACATCACTTTAGCCTGTAGGACTTCTTACAGCATCACCTTCTCAAACTGCACTTTGATCCTCCCACAAAGTGAGTCAGTGACACAGAGTTTGTTGCAGCAGGTCTGCTTCCAAGTATGAGCCATCAAGAGACACTAAACAGGGTGAGTCATATCAGATATCTTGATATTGTCACAACCTTTATTAGCTTTACAGCTACCATGAAACACTGATCTTTAGAATTAAAAAGATGATAGTTGATGAAGTCAAGTCAGGGTTAAAAGCTAGTTATTACTGACAAAGGGCCCATAATACCATTTTTTTCCTTCTTTGACAGCAGCTTTTTCCAATAACAGCACAAGGAAAGGGCTTGTTTCTGAATGCATGTGCATGGTTGGGTTTTTTTCCCTTGCATAAGTGGAGAAGAACTAAAATGAAGATACCTCTCTTAACCAAGGGATTGGATCAAGTGAACTCTAGAAATCCCTTCCAGCATAACATTTTTCTAACAACTCTGTGACAGCAGTTCTTTCTGTCCTGCATGTCTCCTCTGGTAATTCATGAAGCTACGTAAAGTGACTGCGTAGGCTCTGGCCACTGGTCTATACAGCAGCTAGCTCAGAGACAAACACTAACCTCTTAGGTGCTATTTCAAGGTATTTTCACTCACTTTCTGTATCATCCACCACCCTTCATTTTTCGGTGTCTGACTCAGAAGGAGCCAGCCTGGGAAAGGAGAGACGCTATTACGCAAAGCTAAGTGGGCTTCTCAAAGAACGTTGCTTTGAATTTGCCGGACAAGATAACTTTTTTCAGCCAAGAATGAAATATTAAGTTACGGAAGATACGTCTATAAAAGTACCAGTTTACTGCTCAGTTAAAAAAGTGCAAATCAAATCTCAGAAATAATTTAATATAATCCTTTATACACTACATTTTTTTAGTAAAAGAGCTGTATTTTTTTTTTAAAAAAAAAAGACAGATGCTTTATAACAGCAAAGAGGGTTTGCTCATTTTCTAGTGCCTTTCTGAAACCCTGATGCCATTGACACAGGGAAGAGTTGCAAATCATTCTGTCAGTGAAGCAGGCGGATAAACTTACTTGAGGGAGCTTGTCTGCACAAAGCACAGGAAGTAATGTCCTTACTCTACTTCTAGAAGAGACTGCCCCATTACCATAGTGACTTCACACCTATCACACCTGAGTTTATGCAAGCCTGAGTGCTGCATAAAACTTTGCCCTGCCCAACCAACATTCTCTCTGTGAACCTCTCTACAGTTATCCTTCAGCAGACCAGAAAGAAAGGCACAGAGATCTGTTGCAACTTGTCAACAATACACGCAAGTCACTACAAAACATAAAATAGAACACAGGTATTCCAGTGCCGCACACTGTACCTCACCACTGAAATGTGTTTCATCTCCAAGAACTGAATGCTAGGAACTATAACCACATTTACAGTTGAGAACTTTGGTGGTGTAGCAACAAACATAGTGACTTGAATCTTGTATGCAGGTGGCTTTGTATTTTTTCAGATATGTTTCAGAAAGAGAATTCAGCTTTTGCTTGCATAACTGTAGCTCCCCAAAGGTATACTTTAGCTCCTCTCATGGGCAGGGAAAATTGTTATTATTGCTTCACGTTGTCTCTCTTTCCTTGGAACAGGATAATGTGGATCTTGGTGACCTGATGTTTTCACTCTGCTACCTTCCAACAGCTGGTAGACTAACTATTACAATAATAAAGGCAAGAAATTTAAAGGCAATGGATATCACAGGAGCATCAGGTAGGAATTAATTTAATGCTCAATGTGGATTCCTGTCCCATTTCCCTCCTGAGTCACAGAACTCGGCACTGTCAGTTCCCAGAATGATTTTTGAGAAGAGGGTTCTTATACTGCAAGCTCTTGAGTTACTTGAGTACAGGAGTTTCTGAGAAGTAAATAATATATTTTAGTTTGTTCTGTTGCAAGCAACAGTTTAAAATAATCTGCTCTTTAAAAGACAGCAAGATTATTTCTAAAGCCACTATGATTCAGAATAGCATGAGTTGGCCAAACTGCATCCATAACACTGGGAATTTGTTTGCACAGCAGACTGTTTGCTACAGCTATGGCACAGCGGCAGACTGACCCTCTCTGACAGTCTCCAAGAGCCACTGAGCCAATTCTGCTGTTGTTGGCATATGGACAAAACAGTGATCATCCCAGACTCCTTTCAGCAACCCTTGATGCTGAAAACAAGAAACTAATGGAAATAAGAGTTCATAGATGACTTCTAAATACCGTGAGGGAATTGTAGAGCTCCCAGAAAGGAGCTACAGAGATACAGCTTTTTTTACTACATTCAAGAGTTTAAAAGTAATTATAATTCTCTTGAGAAATATAAGCCACTAAATGTTCCACTTTGAATTATATTTAACCATACATCAGTAAATCCCACTGTGTAAAATATTGTCATATTCTGTCGTACAAATCTGTACAAGTAATTAGGCTGTTATAAATAGGCTGATACACAGGCTGTTGTATAAAACAGTCATGTATAACATGGTTCAGTTGATATTTTAATACCCTTTGAAAAATCAGTACACAACAAGGAGCTTCTTGATCCTAAACTGTTCATTATAAGCAGTCAACTAAGTAAAGCTTTCAAAGCTCCACTGCCTTCGAGGCATTCCATGGTAATAAAGAAGCTCAAATTAGAGTCAGGTCCATGTGACTAATTCTGCAAGCAGGTATGGACATAGAAGAAGGCTGCTCCCTTCACTTTCCATTTATATTTGCTTAAATCAATAAAAGAAAACCAATGTTGTTCTTATGATTCACACAGATCCCTACGTGAAGGTTTCTTTAATGTGTGAAGGAAGGCGACTAAAGAAAAGAAAAACTTCCACCAAGAGGAATACCCTTAATCCCGTTTACAATGAAGCCATAGTCTTTGACGTCCCTCCTGAAAACATTGACCAAATTAACTTGTCGATAGCTGTTATGGATTATGACCGGTGAGATACCTGTAGCTGTAAAATAACATAATCTATTGTCTTATAAAATCTTGCACAGTGGATTTGCATCCAGAAACAAAGTTATCATTTTTTTCCAATAAATGGGAAATTAATGTCATGTTGACTTTGGTAGAAGACTAAAATTTCTTGTATCGCCAGGCAGAATTTCCTTTCTAAATTTTAAAATACAGATTTGCATCCATTACTGACATAACTAAGCTGCATATATTATGCTTACCAGGACTAAAATAAATGAACATATAATCAGACAGTCCACACGCTGATGTTCTGCTTGTGCACGATTACGCTAACCCCTTAAACACACCCCCACATTTCTAATAATGTGTCCTGAAGTTTATTTGAAACTAATTACAAAACAGAGGCAAAGAACTTTTAACATTCTTCATGCAAAAATAAGAAACAAATGCACACAGACACACAGTGTATGCTATAATGAGGAAAATACTAAATTATTCTGATTTTTGGAAAATGCAAAGGGCAAACCTATGTATTTTTTAGTTCATTATATTTTTCAGGCAAGAATTAATTCTAAAAATCTGTTATAAGTGTTTCTAATGAAATATGTAAATGGTATGGTTCTAAAGGTATAATTTTAAGAAAAAAATATTATGGAACATTTTCACAGTGTAGGTCACAATGAGGTCATTGGAGTATGTCAAGTAGGCAATGACGCAGAAAGTCTAGGTCGTGACCACTGGAACGAAATGCTCTCATACCCTCGGAAACCCATTGCTCACTGGCATCCTCTTGCAGAGGTAAGATTTTTATTTCTTGCTTCCCTGTTACTATAATTGTGAAAATTCTTCCATATGCATTAGAAATTGGATAAAATTTTATTAACAAAACCAAGATCCATGTGCATGCATGAAATCCTAGAAAAGGGCTTGGAAACATCGATATAAAAAGTCAAACATAACTCACAAGTTAATTCTACTCCTTTCAATTTTAGGGGAACAGAAAGGAATTAATGGCTTTAATATATACATGAAAACACCAAACATTATACACTGGATTAAGGGTTTGGTTTTGTTTTTTAAATAGGATCTTGGGTAACTTTCACTGATAATGAAATGGACCTTGTTTACAGAACAACCAAGACCTATTTTTTTTTATATATATA